TCTAATATCCTTGAAAATTGGACGGAGAGATTGAGGAGCAGCAGCAAAATGAAAATAGAGGCAAACAAAGAGGGAGAAAAAACATTTGTTTTATTACTAACTGCTTTGCGATGAAGCTTTGAAGAGCAGCTCTTAATGTGTAATACATATAATCGTGTCCTGAAGAGAGGCGGATGAATTATGTATGTTTATGAACCATTCGACATGGCACAACCTTGAGATTTACATTTTATCGTCAAGGACGTTCTGCTACTTTTGACAAACGTCCCGTCCCTTCCTGGTTTCCCCACAAAACCCTCACTGAATCCATTGTTAGCATTTATCCTTAAAATCAGCATGACGTGGACGGATTTGATGAACGCGGCCTTTCATGCGCGGGAGATGTGTGATGAGTCAGCCGCAGTCTGAATGGAGCTTCAGCTAATGGACTTTCAACTTCAGATCTCAACACATTACAGCAGATTCCACATTTACAGTCCTGCATCTTCCTTACAGAAATGTACCACGGTACCATGTCTGAAGCACCGTGGTAATACCATGTGGTACTCTTTTAAGTGTATGAATGTAGTAGACTCACAAAAAAAAGTTCCAAAAAATACAGTTGAACTATTGTGGTATTTTGGAGGTATACCATGGTATTACCATGGTGTTTTTTTGTAAGTACCATGGCACTACTGTGGTACTAAGGACATAGTATTACTGTGGTATTTTGGACATATACCATGGTATTATGGTGATATTTTGGACATATACCATGTATAGCATGGTATTCCCTATTTCTGACATGTACCATGGTATTACTGTGGTATTTTGGGCATAGTACTACTATTTCGGACATGGTGTTACCATTGTGTTTTGAACATGTACATTGGTATTACCATGACATTTTAATGTGTACCATGGTATTATGGGGGCAATTTGAACGTATACCATGTATACCATGGTATTGTGGACATATACCATGGTATTACACGTGTAATGGTATTAACATGGTATTTTTGTTAAACAGTTGTATTTTTGGCTTACACCATGTATACCATGGTATTACTGTGGTACTTTGGAGATTTACCGTGGCATTTTTTATGTGTACCATGGTATTACTATGGTCATTTAGACATTTACCATGGTATTTTAAATGTATTATCTTTTGCACACGTATGCCTTGGTATTACCATGGTATTTTTAATTAATGTGGTATTTTGGACATTTATAGGGTACTACGATGGTATTTTGGACGTGTACCATGATATTGACATAGTATTTTGGACATGTACAGTGGTATTTTAGATGTGTACCATAGTCTTAATGTGGTATTTTGGACATTTATATGGTACTATAATGGTATTTTGGAAGTGTACCATAGTATTATTGTGGTATTTTTGACATTTATATAGTATTACGGTAGTATTTTGGACGTGTAACATGGTATTACTGTGGTATGGATGTGTATTTTGATAGCACCGTGGTATTTTTGCAAATGGACCTTGAAGTATCATGAAGTGCGTGAGTTTCATGGTACCACCACAGTATGTTTTTGAAAGGTTGCGCACAGTAAACATCACAGTGTTGTGTTATTTATTTCTCCAGCTTTGACTCTGGGTGTGTGTGTGTGTGTGTGTGTGTGTGTGTGTGTGTGTGTGTGTGTGTGATCTGCTGACACTGGAGCGTATCTGCAGAGCTTCATCTCATCTCACTTTTAAAGAGGTGAATGTGTAATTCTTGCCGGAGCAGAATTCTCCTGAGGACTCGACGACAGTCTCTCTTCACACAATAGCCGCTCGCTCCACTGTTTACAACACACAATTTAGCTTCCTTCCAACAATTATGAGGGAAATTGAATCTCAGGAAATGTTCATTTTCACATCCATTAGAGCGGACAATAACAGGGGAGGCCCCGGAGCCTACAGAGACATCTGTCTTCAAAGGGCTGCAGAACTATATGGAAGATTAATATCCAGCGCGACCACGTGTCCGAGCAAATCACATCGCAGGGCGTTTACTGCGAGCTCTGGACGCCGAAAGACCAACAACACGAGCTTACGCTGAATATCTGCTCATCTTTCATATCTCAGTTGTGTCTTCAACCGAAAATGAGAACAAATATTCAGTCAGATTGTTCTCCTCAGAAAAAGGAATTTCTGGAGAAACTTCTGATACTTAAATGAAACATAAACTAAATTAACCCTGTAAAGCCTGAAGTATTAAATAATAGTATTATGGTGGTATTTTGGACGTATAGCATGGTATTCTCATGGTATTTCTGACCTGTACCATGGTATTACTGTGGTATTTTGGGTATTTACCATGGTACTACTATTTTGAACATATCCAATGGTATTACCATAGAATTTTTGTGCATACCATAGTATTATGGGGGTGATTTGGACGTGTAACATGTATACCATGGTATTTTGGACATAAACTATGGTATTTGTCTGGTATTTTGGACATATACCATGTATAGCATGGTATTACCATGGTATTTTTGACCTGTACCGTGGTATTACTGTGGTATTTTGAACTTATACCATATATACCATGGTATCACCATGGTAGTTTGGACATTTACCATGGTATTTTTGATGTGTACCATGGCAATATTGTGGTATTTTAAACCAGAGAAATCCATTTTTTAGATAAGCGTTAATCAAAATATATATATTAAAAAAAATGTCTGATACAGTGGAGGAAAAAACAGCTGTATTTTATTCAGAGACTCAAATTATATGCAATTTGCTGTGGATGTTGATATTTCTATGATGAAATTCTGATGCTTGTAATGTAAATCAGTGAGATCTTTATAACAGTACAGCAGATACTTACATAAAATGATCTAAATATCAGTCGTAGCTCTATATCTCCAGTAATATGTCTCAGTAAGATGAGATTGAAATGCCAGCAGAAAGACACGTGAAGCTGGACGTTTGTACAATTACACTAAAAGAGCTTTGACTGGATAAAACACTCTTAACTATCAATCAGAGACAGAAGACATGGAGGAGATTGTGTGAGAAACAGGTTTAACAGCATCATGTTGATCATTTAGAGCGTCATAGTCGGCGTAAGTCTCATGAGCAATGAAAGAACAATCTCTAAGCAATGAAAATGTTCTTCTGAATGAGTTCAGTCTCTTTCTTAAAATATCGTTTAGCGTTTAAGCCTCGTGGAGACACTCAGACGGGTGATATATTTCGGAGAACTCTGTGATTTGAGTAATGTACGGTGGCAAGGTCCCACAATCCTTGTCTCTCTCTCCTTCTCCACGGCCGAGTATTTGCTAAAAGTATTTGTTTGCAAGATAAATGGCCGTTCTCCAGGCGAAGATGACAGGCAACACAAAGATGATATTGAATTGATTTCTGAAATGTTGCAGAACTGACTGTTTGATGTATACGGGCAGACATGAATCATAAAAATTCTATTAAAAAAGCTCTTGAATGGTTGACAGCGGAATATTATTTCTGATGATTAATTTGACTCAGTCATTATGGACGGGGCTCCAGTCAGATCGCCTACAAAATTGCTTTTCATTCCCTCTTGAATACCCCAGCAATCTCTCTCTCTCTCTCTCTTTCCTTTTTCCTCAATTTAACGTCGCATACTTCCTCCGTCGGGTCCAAAGTTAGATCGACGCGGCTGATGAGAGGCACGAGCATCGATACGGGCGCAAACTTTAGCGCTATGAAAACATGGTCTGCGCTTCCAAAAGTTGATTGTGATAATGCCGTATTTCCAGCAACTTTCCGTGATTCCAGAGCCAGATCGGAAGCTGCCAACTGATACGCATCCAAAAAAAGCGATTCTTACTTGTTTAACTGCATAATATTTATATAATTGTGTTTATGCCTCTCTCCACAAAGTAATTAGGCAGTCGTCACATCTACTATTGCTCATACATACAGAAGGGGGTTTCAAATGGGTTTTGATTATAAGTTGTTTTTTTATTATTTATTATTAAATAATAAATAATAAAAAAACAACTTATAATCAAATGGGTTTTGATTATAAGTTGTTTTTTTATTATTTATTATTTTATTATTTTAACCAAGTTATTTTAGTTGTAATTTATTTGACTAATTTATTTCATTTCAACATAATTTGTATTTTATTTCATTTATTGCATTTAACAATTTTATTTTATTTTATCTGAACATGTTGTAACTTATTTAATAATTTTATCTAAACATACATTGTATTTTTATTTTATTTCATATTATTTTATTTTTTTTGTATTTAAAACTTTAATATTATTTTATAAAACGGAGAGTTCCGGTCCTTGATTCTGATTGGCTGAGCCACGTTCGAAGCTGTTGTAAATTACTCTACAAAGTAACATACACCTTTGTTTACTTCTGTGTGTTGCTCGGCAACCACTTAGTTGCAACCACAACCGTTTCTAAAGTACTACGTTGTTTGGCGGAAGAATACTGTTTTTATTAATATCATTACATTTTATTTGCTCTGTTTTATTTAGTGAAACCGTACTACGTATATGGAATAACCGTTTTATAAAAGCAATAAGCCCAGTGAAGCCGTGGTTTACAGTGAATTTATAACAGCTAAGGGG